AATACAATACAATACAATACAATACAATACAATACAATACAATACAATACAATACAATACAATACAATAAAAGCCCTTCTAGCTTAGTTTCCTGGTGCTGTAATAAAATGCCTTGACAAAAGCAGCTTAGGAGGGAAAGGTTAATTTTGGCTGACAGTTTCTGGTGTTGTTCGCCATGGTGGGGAGGTCAAGGCAGCAGCGCTTGAAACACTGATCATATCACAGCCACTCAAGAAGCAGAGAGCACGGCACCAACGCCGCTATTGTGCAGCTCCCTTCCTTTCTTACACAGCCCAGGAGCACTGCACAGGTTGTCCCACTGCCACCAAGGCAGCTAAGGTGACCCTGCTCCCTAGGCAGGCCCAGAGGCCAAGCCAGGTAATCCTGGATCCTGTTAAGCTGAGCACTGCCTGACATTAAACATCACAAGATCCATACTTAAGCATTCATCCTGCTGTGCTCTTGATCTTCATTCAAGATAAGCATGCTTCAACTGCATCAACTCATCTACAACATGACCGTGGGAATTCTGTATCCACAGTGGGAGCAGTAAGCACAGGGTCTCCCCAACTATCCACGATGAGTTAACTCACCTGCCCGATGGTAGTTGGTGGCTCTCAAGATCAGGTCCGGCACAGAACAACTGAACAACACTGAACCATCTTCCAGCACCTCTTGTACCATGACATCAAGGACCATCCCTGGGGTCATCTCAGCCAGTGTTTGGGTCAATACAGAGTCTACCAAAGGCCCAAAGAAAGCAGGGAATTAGTGATGGCCACTCTCAGCACACTTCCTCTGGAAATGCACCAGCATCAGGGAGCAGCAAATCACCAAAAGAGTGCAAATGCTTTGTGCAAACAGTTCAGGGTCAGACCAGACACTACATTTAACCTAGCAGTCAGACAGGCAGGGACAGGAGAGACAGGCAGTCAGACCTCTATGAATTTGTGGACAGACTGTTCTATATAAGTGAGTTCTGGGACAGCCAGGGTTACAACAGTGAGACCTTGTCTCGACAAAATAAAACATATATAGCAAAACCCAAACTTATCTATTATCAGGCAAGGGAGGTGGTTCAATGGGCTCCTGCTATCAAGCCTGAGAACCTAAGTTCAATCCTGGGGGACCCACGTGATGGAAGGAAAAAACCAACTCCCATAGACCGCTCTCTGACCCATACATGCATGGCATGGTATATTCACATTCTCTCATAAGCATACTCAAATAAACATAATTTAAAGAAAAAAGAAGAGAATGGAAAGTGAATCTGCAGTATAAACTCAAAGCCACAGAATGGAGGGAAATTCTGACTTTTGACTAACTGTGGGGACAAGGGGAAGTTTGGGGTTCCTTACTTACAATGACTTTAAAAAACAGAAACAAAACCAAAAAACTTCTGGAGGCACCCTGCTGGTTGAGGGTGCAGTTCTCGCCTAGTCCAGATAGGCTTGGCGTTAAAGGTAGGACTCCCTCTTTCCCAGCAGGACCCCTTGTTCTCTGCCTGACTTCATCTGAGTGTCATTAGACACAGACATCCCAGCCACATTTGATATGTCTGACACAGCTTCCGCTAGCTCTCTCCTCCCCTGCCTACATGATAAATGGGTGCTGTGTTTCCATTCATATGATAGAAGCGTGCTGTATAATGCAAATCAGGCATCCCTGAAGTGCTTACTTCCAACCAATTCTGTACAGCTATTCTTGGAGCCTGCCACTCACTCGCCAAAGGTTATACAACCTTTGTTCTCTAAAATTAAAGTTGAATTAGCCATCAGCTGGTTCCCAGGATGTAAGATCCCAGTATGGTGCTCGCTGGCCATTCCAGGCAAGCTTCTAGTCTCTGGCCCTCCTGACTTCATAGGCTGCTAGAACACAGGCCCCAGGCAAAAGGAGAACCAACAAAAAAGCACGGTCTCATTTATCCCAGACTGGATCAGAACTTTGCTAGGTAGCTGAGCATGACCTTGAATTCCTGGTCTTCCTGTCTCCACATCCTGGGTTTTAGACTTACAAGTGTGTGCCACTACACTAGTGCATGTTAGGTAAGGACTCCACCAAACAAACTACATGCCCAGCCCTTTCATTTTGGAGGGTAGGAGCAAGGTCATATGTAGCCCAGGCTGGCCTGAAATTTGCTATGTAGCCAAGGATAACCTTGAACTCCTCCTGATCCTTGTACCTTCCCTTCCCTTCCAAATACTGGTATATACATATGCCATCAGATCTGGTTTATGCAGTACTAGGGATAGAACCCAGAGTTTTGTACACGCTAGTCAAGAATTCAGGCGGATCTTCATTACACTCTGGGTAGTAAATGGGTATTCACTTAATAAACATGTAAAGATTACTTTATAAACGACTACTATTAAAAAAGCTTAGATGGCTTAGGAGGCTGAGACAAGTTTAGAATTTCCGAATTCAAGTCTAGCCTGGTGGACAGAGTGAGTTGCAGGACAGGCAGGACTACACAGAGAAATCCTGTTTTGAAAAACAAAAACCAACCAAACCAAAGCATCTCAGCAGTAGAGCACTTGCCTAACATGCTTGAGGTACTAGGTTAGATTGGTTCTTATCTAGCACCACAAGAAGAAAAAGACTAAAAAAGGGAGGTAGGGAGAGAGGGAGGGGAAGGGAGGGAGAAAGCAGAGCAAGAGAGGCTTGCTAAGGCAGCATGCAATTACAGCCCCAGGCTACTGGGGAGCTCAGACAGAAGGGTCACTACCTAAGAGCCACGGTTCAGGGTGAACTGGCCATAAAACACTTCATTCCCTGATCAAACTGCATCACATTCATTTAAACTACACAGTCTCAACTTACCTAACAACAGGTACAATGAAAGCACACACTACTGTCTGGACGTTACCCTCTGCTTCCTGTCTCCACTACACACACCCTACCTTGGTTGCTCATGAGGCTTCGGATGCCCTGCAGCTCTTCCAGGCACTGGCACAGAAGGGTGAAGCTGGTGTTGGCCGAATCCCCCAGACTGCAGTCTGACAGCCGCAGAGACAGCAGCATCCTCTGCTTCAACTGGTCCACGTTGGTCACCTTAGCAACGACCGTCTGACCCTCCACAAAGTGGTCACTTGGAGTGGTTACAAACTTGTCACTCATGATCTGAACAGAGCAGGTAAATAATCGGGACAAGAAAGTCACTGTCCATTAACACAGTCCCGGCTAAGGACAAGGGAGCCTGGGTAGCTTCTCCGGCTTTCTCTGAGTAGTTTTATCCCCCTTCCACAAAAAGGAGAGGCCCTGTCTATGCACCCTGGCATTTAGAGATGACAGCCATTTAGAAGACCCATTACTAGCACACCAAAGGGGACAGAGCATATCTCAACATCTAGGTACAACCCTCCCTCCTACCCTTTTCTGGCAGGGAATAAGACCGTCCCTTCCAAAACATTAGAAAGCCAGACCAATGGAAAATTTTGGTGTTTTTTTTTTTTTTTTTTCCAAAGATTTTGTTTGTTTGTTTTAATTTTTTGGTTGTTTTTTTTTTTTTTTTTTTAATTTTTTGAGACAGGTTTTCTCTGTGCAGCCTTGGCTGTCCCGGACTCCCTTTGCAGACCAGATCTGCTTGCCTCTGCTGGGATTAAAGGTGTGTGCCACTATGGCAGGCTTTCTTTTTTTTAATTTATTTAATTTTTCTTTCTTTTATGTGCACTAGAGTGAGGGTGTCAGATCTGGAGTTACAGACAGTTGTGAGCTGCCATGTGGGTGCTGGGATTTGAACTTGGGTGCTTAGAAAGAGCAAACAGTAGTCTGAACCTCTGAGCCATCTCTACAGCCCCAGGCTTTTTTTTTTTTTTTTTTTTTTTTTTGAGACAAGGTCTCATTATGTAAACCAGGCTAACCCCACACTTTAAAGACCTGCCTGTTTCTGTCTTCTAAAAGCTAAGATTAAAGGCGTATACCACCACACCTTGCTGAGAAGGAATATTCATGAGCAATCTGTGGTAGGGGTTAGCCCCGTGCTGCTTGCCCAGTGTTGTCACAGATTTGTCTATATCCTCCAGGACTCAGTTTGTTCAGCAGGCATGGGAGGCTCCCGGGATACACTGGCGCCTTTACACCTTAAAAACCACAGGAGGCTCTAAAAACTAGACTGGCTATCCAGGGAAATTTAGGCTGAACATGCTATAAACAAGTTCTGTCCTTTTTACAACGGAGATGAAAACCAATCAAAGCCACTGTCTTCCAATACTGCTGTGTAAAAGACAGCGGGCCCCTCCTCCAGGAAACAGGGCAGGCGGGAGGACAGATGTATCAGATGCACTCACTTCTTTCCCACCGGCCTTCAAGGCATCCACACCTTGAGTGGTTCCCCTTGACCTCCTTTAAGCATTAGTCTCCTGCTGTGTCTCAACTCAGCAGGTCTATGAGCCTGAGATCTCTCCTCAAAGGCCCTTGTACATAGAACTGAACTTACAGATTTGGGGGACAGTCCACTAAGACCCGAGGGGAACTGGACGAATACACCGTAGTCCTTGATGTTCTTCACATAACCAATGAGCAGCATTCCAGGCTGGATTTCTGAGAGGCTCTTAGGGTCCTGGCCACCTTCTACTGTGGAGACCAAAGCTGGCTTCCTACAAAGAAGCTAGAGGAACCTCATTAAGGAATGCCAGAAAGACAAATGAAATGTCTATTACTTCCTTCCTCTGTCCCACTGACTTTTCAGTTACCCTGAGTCACTCTGGGTAGAGAACCACAGCGTGAACAGCACACTAGAGCATGGAGGGTCCACATTTGTAAGCATTATCTGACTGCTGAAGCAGCAGCTCCAGAGGTGCAGCCCTCCAGGAGCTACTGATGCTCTGTGATGCTGGACAGTCAGCTTTACTCCTTCCTGCTAACTCCTCCCCAGATTCCTGGAGGTCTGCAAACAGCACACAGCGCAGGTCCACAGTCCACAGCTGGGTCAGCCAGTGCAGCTGTCCACTGACCCTGTCTTGTCACCAGTGAATCCCCTTCTACCCTGATGCCCTAAGGATTTTAGTCTTATGGTTGTTAAGAAAAGGTAGTGTCCTGAAAAAGACCCACAGGCAGCATCAAGAAAACAGTTCTGATCTCCATACCCGCAACAGGTAAGACCTTTCTAGGCAACTGCCTCAACCCCATCCAGCCCCTGGCAGAGCTTTTTGGGCCTGTTCCTGTTTTCCAGGCACAGGTCAATTTGGTCTTATGGAAGCATTTTTTTAAGCTCAAATAGTTGATTTTCCCCCCCTCCTAGTCCTGGTCTAGAATTAAGTGCCTATGGCCTTCAACTGCCCCCAAATACCAGTCAAGGATACAGTATGTCTCTCGCCCTGGCTCAGACACAGAACTCGATGGAGAGTGTCGCCTGCTTGGAGCCAGTGATGCAACAGTGGGCCGTGGGCGACATGGTCTGACAGGTGAGGTGTGGGGAGGAAACCCGGGGTGCCATGGGGCAGGATGGTCACCTCCAGTCCATCTCTGGTCTTCTCCAAAACCTCTACGTCCACCAACTACTCAGAATCAGAAAGGTAAAAATTAGGACCCTTTCTGAGCAAAAAGCTCAGAGCTGCCGGATCCCAATCCCAAGAAGCTAATAGCAAACACACTTTCCTCTAGACCCCCACACCAGGACTCCTAGGGTTCCCCCTGGGAGTTTCTCTGCTGATTCCTGGAGGAAAAAGGGAACTGCAGGCTTGTCTTAGCAGTCAGAGAAGTGACTGGTAAAGCCCTGCCATAACACAACTTTTCTCTCATGCCAGCTTCCATTTGCCACAGCAGGCAAGAAAGAGGCCCTAAAATCTCAGAGCCACCTCTCTTTTCTTGCACAGGCTTCAGTACTTTTCTAGCACTGCTGTCACTATGGGACACAATCACTTGTCCAGGTACCTGCCCAATGTTAACGGCTCCTTCTTTCTTCTGACTGTTTTCGACACTCTCATTCTGTGGCTCTGAATCACTCAACAGTTTGAAGGACAGGAGCATCCTCTCTTTGGAAGGGTCACAGTTCAGCACTGCCACCTTTACCACCTGATGAGAAATCACATGTGTGTGGCCCTGTCCAGCAGCAACAGGCCTTCAGAACTTAGAGCTAAGTGCCCTCCATGAACACTGAAGGGGCCCTGGGAGATCCACCAAGACCTTGGATCAGATCCAAAGGTGGTGAAAAGATGATGGATACAGAGACTACATTAAAAGCCCATAAGCCAACCCTCTACAACAAAGACAAATAACTTCAAGTTATAAGCCTCAAGTTCTAAGACGTTCTTTTTTAAGAGAAATGCAAACCCATTACTCAGCACTCATCTGGTGACAATGTCTGATGTGAAGAGCTCTGGTTTATTATAGCTTATAAGGGCTTTCTTCTGGGTAGTGGGCCTGGGTTCACTGGATTCCAATGAGTACTTCCAGGTTCTGTCACCCCACCCCCTTTTAACTGGTTCAGGTCCACTTTATCTGCGTTCCCTTTCCCCTCCTCTTAAAAGGCAGCCACATGATTACTGATGCTTTAAACTTGTGTTCATGGAGTCACTAAGAGTAGGGCATCTGTACAGGGGTTACCTGGCCAGCGTAAAAGACTTTTTCTGGGTCAGGGATATGCTGGGTACTGAGCTCATGCTTGGGCACAAGCCCCTGCACACTGTTGTAGAACTTTACGATGCAGCCATAGTTCTTGACCCTTATGATAACACCATGAGTCTGTAGGCCAGGCTTGGCATCCTCATAGCAGGTAATGGCAGGTAGCGTGGATGTGACAAGTGTTTTCTTCAGGGTCATTATTAGCCTCTTAGCTTCAGGGTCACAGATCAAAACCTAGGGAAAAGATAAAGACTATCAACAAGTCATTTGTTACCAAGACAGTCATTGCCTGGTCTACAACCCTAGGAACCCAAAGGCCATAGGTCATTTTCCAAGGACCAACTACCTTTTACCTCTAATAATCTCAGCTGTAGATCTTGTTTCCTGCAGGATGGCCATCTAAAGTCAGAACTCTCTACATCAAATGTACTTCCTCTAATAAGCGGCTGTATTAAAACAGTTTCCCAGCCACACACTGATTATTTTCTTACAGCACCTAGCTTGGTGTTTTAGAAACTTACAGTGGCACACCATATGCCAAGTAGATTACCTTATTACCTCATTAGTGCTATTTACTAGTTACAATCTAGTACAGACTGAGCAATCCAATTACCTTGAGAGCAGAGAAACCTGTTTTTAATTCCTTAACCTCACTACATAAAAGTCTGCAATGTTCAATTACTGCCCTTCATGCATCAATAATGATGAAATATAGTAAATGTAAGAAAACCTGGCTCTAGCCAGTGGTATGTTTAAGCAGAACAGCATGCTTAGCACGCAGGAGGCACTGAGTTCAACTATCAGTACCAGGACAAAACAGAACCAGAAACTCCCACTGCCTGAACACTCCAGGCCCTATGCCAGTGCTTTGTATAGTATCGCTTTTTTATGAGCTTCTTGAGGGATCTGAGTATCTGTTGGAAACCTCTCATCTTTTTGTGGCATAGTCTAGCTGTCATTTTTTAAATTAAGTTTACTTATTGTGTGTGTCAGAGGGCATTTATGTGCCATGGCACATGTGTTTATATGTGAATAGTGGAGGGCACGCACACGCCATGGTGCATGCACGTTTGGGTTGGGGGTGGGAAGTATGCAGGTGCTATGGTGCATGTGTGCAGAGGTGAGAGGGTAGTTCTCTTCCTCCACTACTAGGGACCTGGGAATTGGACTCAGGGCATCAGGGTGCAGCAATCACCCACTGAACTACCTCCCAGGGTCTGGGCTATTTTTTAAGTAGTTTATATTAATTATAGATAATAATGGGTTTTGCTATGACATTCCATGCACGTACATAATGTATCTCAGGGTTATTTCTGAGTTTGACATATCCCCTGCTCTTCCACAACCTTCCAAACCTTGTCCATCTTTTCTAGTTCAAACTTGGTCAAAGTCCAGAAGGAATTATTGTCATACTGAGATAAATCTGAAAACTGGTTCTGCAATTATTAGCTGTGGGACTTCGGACACATACTTGGCTTTATCCTATCTGTTAATTGGCCTACTTGGAAAATAAGGGTCCTTAAGACACAGGACTGTATGGTAATGGCTATTGATAATATTCTGTTGCTGAGTCCCACCTCTCCGCTTTCTGAGCTCTGACCACAGCATATAGCCTGAGCCAAACCATGTGGCAAAAGGTCACACACCTAGCTTGCTTTTTTACCTGCATGGATTTTTTTTTTAATTATACTTTATTTACTTTGTATCCCCCTTCTAGTTCCCTCCCTCCTCCCCTCCCAATCCCTCTCTTCTTCCTCCTTTTCCACACACTCCCTTCCCCAAGTCCACTGGTAGGGGAGGGTTTCTTTTTCTTCCTTCTGATCCTAGTCTATCAGGTCTCATCAGAACTGGTTGCATTGTCTTCCTCTGTGGCCTGGTAAGGCTGCTCCTCCCTCAGGGGGAGGTGATCAAAGAGCAGGCCAATCAGATTATGTCAGAGACAGCCCCTGTTCCCATTACTATGGAACCCACTTGGGCACTGAACTGCCATGGGCTAGGGGTTCTAGGTTATCTCCATGCCTGGTACTTGGTTAGAGCATGAGTTTCAGAAAAGACCCCTGTGCTCAAATTTTTTGTTTCTGTTGCTCTCCTTGTGGAGCTCCTGTCCTCTCCAGCTCTTACTATTATTTCCCACTTCTTTCATAAGACCTGCATGGATATTTTAACTTACAACTCTACTACACAACACAGGGACTCACTTTTCACTTCCCAGTGTTGGGTAAAGTACTGGATATGCTGCAGAGATTACACATTCATTTCACAAAAAAAAAGGCAGACACTTCAGCTGAGAACCTCCCTCTTCCCAAAACCCCAACATGGTCTCCTTCAGAGGGCTTACCCTGCACTTGACCTCATCCCCTATATGGTACTTCTTCTCTGGATTCTTCATCATGACATCAGTCAGGTGCAAGGAAGATACTAGGCCTTTTATTTGCTCACCCACCTTCACCAGTATTCCAAATGGCTTGATAGCCAACACTGTGCCCTGAGGAGTCAAAAGAAAAGCCATCACGATATATTTTCTCTTACTAGAGTTGTCACGTCTGCTTCACTGCCCACCTTGCAGATCTCGTGTGGGTAAGCCACTCCTGTACCCCAACCTAGACTTAGCCAGGCTTATGCAAGAAGCCTTTCATGCTTTCTGGCTGAGCATGCACTTCCTGTCTTCTGGACAGGAATACTCCCTAAGAGGGGACATGTCTCTCAAGGTGCAAACTCTGCCTAGAAAGAAACTGCTCAGTGAGTGCTACATGCTGGAGGAGAGGTAACCGGACCCAGTTTCTCTCTAAAATCACACAACTAACTTTCAATCTGCTCTAACAGCTGCCACCAAATCCCAAACCCCAGGATTTGTGACCCACTGTCTCCATTAAGTTGGGTGGGGCTAGTAAGACTTTATTTTGAAGCTAATTACAAGTCACCTAAGGGAAGCTCAGAAATTTCAGTTTTTTGACAGCAGGGTTATGACTTCATATGAATTAACAAGGAACTGATGTGCTGACACTAAGGATGCCTGAAGGTAGAGAAGGATCTATGCGATACTAGCATTCTTACCTTTACCACTGTCCCTGTCCTGATGTCATGATATCTAAGAAACCGAGCTGCAATAACTGATCTAGGACAAAAGAAAAATATGATTACAGAGTCTAAGGAAGGGGTTGCCTAAAATTCAGGACTTCCACAATCATGCCAACAAGAAGACACCCTCACCCAGCAAGACCAGAAGAAAGTGGAGGTGCATGTACACAGAGAATCTCTCCCTGTGTGATAATGGCACTTACTTCCGCAGAGACAGCAAGGCCAGCTCATCCATTAGGCTGTAGTCAATAATTCTGCACTTGTGAGTGCTCCCTGGTTTGAAGGCCTCAGCATTGAATGTTTTCTTAGAATCAGAGAGATGGTTGAGCTACAGAATACCAGATGAGTGAAGTTAAGTCAGAAATACACCTCTGAGGCAGTCCAAATTCAAACCACACAGAGAGGACAACATTAACCATCCACTATAAAGATAATGTTTTTTGAGAAGGAGAGACAGCTCAGTAGCTAAAGCACTGGCTGCTTTATTAGACGACCCAGTTTCACTTCCCAGTGCCCACATGCTCGCTCACATCTTTCTATAACTCCAGCCTCCGTAGGTCCAGAAACATACATTATAAGTAAAACACCCATACATATAAAATAAAATTTAAAAATAGTACTTTGTTAAAACAATTTTCATTCTTCAATATCCTAGAATTTCATGAAGAATAGCCTAGATCATGGGTCAATAAACCATACTCATGGCAAATGTCTATTTTTATAAATGAGTCTTACTTGATGGTAGTCAAGCCTGTTCAGTTATATACTGTCTGTGGCTGCTTTCATGCAAAACAGCTGTTGAGACATAGACTAAACAGCCCATAAGCCTAAAATACTCTCTATCTAGCCCTTTAACAAAAGCTTTGCTGGGACTGAAGGGATAGCTGAGTAGTAAAGAGTAGATACTGCTCTTGCACAAGAGCTGGGTTCAGTTCCCAGCACCAGTAATGGGCGGCTTGCAACCTCCTGTAACTCTAGCTGCAGAGGGTCTGACATTGTACTCTGGCTTTCATGGGCACTCTACACATATACACAAAAAATAATTTAAAATCATATAACAGCAACCAAAAAAAAAAGTTTTGCTGAGCATTGGTCTGGATTCTATCTCATTCCCGTTCTTCCTTCCCTGACCAGGTATCATACGTGACAAGAAGCTGCTAAGCATTCTGAAACAACAACGCACTGGCATTGTTCTGACTTTGTGGACAGCTTTTCACATTGGAGGCTATCCCACAACAAGGGATGAAGGAAATAGAAAAAGACCCAACTTGCCTAAAGTCATTCTAGTAATGAGATTCTTGATTAAACAAAGAATCTCCTTACCCGGGCATAGGCCAGTACCCCATCCTTCAGCCTGAAGGTAGCCCCAGCCTTCTTGAAAAAACCCTGAACAGGAACATTATCCAGCACAGCCCCTAGGTGCTGGTAAGAGATGCGGGTGAGTGGACGCCCAGGCTGCAGGAAGATGGGACGCAGGCTCAGTCGCACAACTCTGGTGCGAGGATGGATGCAGAGGATACAGGCTTTTACCTGGACAAAAGAGCAAAATGAGAAGGAGGCGCTCACATAATACAGGTGAGAGCAGACCTTCTAAGGTGCCACAACTGACTATGCTAATCAGGTTAGCACTAATCTTCAGAAGTACCAGTGTCAGTCTGTGTAATCAAACAGCGTGTGGAAAAGTCAAACAGAATGTTGCATAGGGACTAACTGTGTGTATCCTCATTCATATCAGTGTCACCAATGAAGGCCTATGGAAATGTCTCAACTATCCATCTTACCAGCCAGGTTAAAATGTACAGGGCCTAGCAGCTCTTCACACAAACATAACTATCATGAAACAACACTAGCAAGTTTACTATGACATTAACAGTATTGGTCCAGATCAGGAAGAACATCTATTTTCTCTTAAAACATTTTGAGATACGTAAGTATGTACTACTATTTTGAAAGTGAGATGGAATCATTTGAGAATTTAAAAATTCTAAATAACATACATTCTAAAATATACATGTTCACTGTGTAAAATTTTAACATTTAGGTAACTGTAGAAAACCTACAATGGTTACCACTAAAATCTAAAAACTAAAATGGGTGTCAGCGGGTAAGTGGGTGTCAGCAGGTAAAGGCAGCTGTAGTTCAGTGGGTGTCAGTGGGTAAAAGTATCTGCCTCCAAGCCTGATCAGTCTGCAGGACCCGTATGGCAGGAAGAGAGAACTGAGTCCCACCAAGCTGTCCTCTGACCTCTGCGCTGTGGCACACTTGCTTCCCTCCCTCCACAAATAAAATGCAATAAAAATTTATACTACTCACAGAATCACAGGTGAAAAAAAGGGAGAGGGATAGGGCTGGAGAGTCGGCTAATCTGTTAAGAGCGTGCACTGTGTTTATAAAGGGCCCAAGTTCATTTCCTAGCTCATAAGTGCCTACAACTCCAGCTTCACTAGATCCAATGCTCTGGCCTCTGAAGACGCTTGCAGTCAGGGCCATGAACAACCCACATACATAATTAAAAACAAATCTTAAATATGGGGATGGTGAGTGCTAGAAAATAAAAACAAGGGCTACAACATTGCTAGGTAAGTATTCTAACATGAGTTATACACAGAGGCTTCACATAACTTTTTTCCTCGGGGTGGGGGATGAAGAGTGGTGTACTTGAAAGAGGGAGAGGCAGAGAGAGAGAGAGAGAGAGAGAGAGAGAGAGAGAGAGAGAGAATGAGAATGTTCTGACTGGCCTGGAACTTGACCAGTTTGACCGCAAATCTGAGGTTATCATCTTGCCTCTGTCTCACGAATGCTGCAACCCAGGCATGAGCCACTGTTCCTGGCCTCACATACTTGAACAATCTGTGTTCTCTTATACTAACTGTTCTTCCTTTAAAATAAAAGCCAAAAGCTGCCTTCTGGGGCTGCCCCTTCTCTCAGCTCAGTCTAGCTACTAGTTACTGTATCTTCCAAAGCACTTGTCAGCACTTCCCCATCTCACTACACACCACACACGCAGCCCTACAGCCTCCCTGGAAGCTAGCTAGGACACTGGGCAGCTAGACACAGCTAGGGACCAAGGAAAGATAGCTGCAACACTTCTTACTGTTTGCTTGGAAGAATATGCTCCAATTTTCTTGGGCTCCAGGTGCATGAAGTCAACCAGGCCCGTAAAGAATGTAAGGAAGTTTAGCTGGAGTCCAAACTGAGTTACCTAGAAGTAAACAGAACAGTTAGTTATCTAAAAGAATTCTACCAAGTGGCCTGGAATAGAAGAGATAATTCATAACAAACACTGGATTACACAACACCCACAACTTTGCATTTCTCCTCCCATTGCTAGCCCTTCTCAATATTAATCAACATGAGTTGGTGGGAGAGATGACTCAGAGATTAAGAACATTGACGGTTCTTCCCAAGGTCCTGCGTTCAACTCCCAGCAACCACATGAGATTGGGAGTCCTCTACTGGCATACAGTCACACATACAGGCAGAATACTTGATAGATTAGATTAGATAGATGATTGATAGATGATAGACAGAAAGATAGACAGACAGACAGGCAGAGAGATAGATACAAGTCATATTAATAACCTTAAAAAATTACATGGAGCCAATAAGCTGATTTATTGAGTAAAGATGCTTGATATCAAGTCTGACAACCTTAGTTTAGTTTGATCCTTGGAAACAATATGTTGAAGAAGAAAACTGAATCTCACAAGTCAGCCTATGACTTCCACAAGGCACCATGGTATGTGTGAACTTACACATACTCTTTTCAATGTAGGTTTTTTGGGGAGTTTCTTCTTCTTCTTCTTTTTTTGTTTTGTTAGTTTGTTTGTTTTGAGACAGGATTTCTCTGTGTAGCCTTGGCTCTCCTAGACTCGCCTTGTAGACCAAACTGGTCTCAAACTGAGATCTGCCTGCCTCTACCTCCCTGAGTGCTTGAGTGCTGGGATTACAGGTGTGCGCCAGCCGCCGCATCCGGCTTCTCTCAATGTTTAAAAAGCTCTTGTTTTAGATTAATTTAGTTTATGTACAGTGCCGACTGCAGTGCACATGCATGTCTGGTGCCTATGGAGGTCAGAAGACGGGGTCAAATCCCCTGAAACTGGAATTACAAATAGTTGTGCGGAATCATATGGGTGTTCGGAACTGAAGCCAAGTCCTTTGCAATAGCAACAAGCATTCTTAACTGCTGAGACATCTCTCTAGCCCTATAAATGAAATTAAAAACAACAAAACAAAACAAAAAACTAATTTTACAAAAATATCAGATAAAGTTACACAATAATAGCTTGTCGAGGCTGGGCATAGTAGCACATTCCTTTTATCCCAGAAATTGGGAAAAAAAGACAAGAGGATCTGAGTATGAGGCCAGCCTGGTGTCTAAACCATGAGTTCCAGGCCAGCCAGAACTATATGGTCTCAGCAAACAAACAAATAAAATAGTAACAGTTTGTCCAAAGTTCTGTTGTATCGACATATAACACTGGCAACCTTCCAAGTGCTCAATAACCAGAACTATCGACTGGGTACCCTCTTGGACAACAGTTTTATTAGAACGTATATGAATACCTTGTTACAAATTTCATTTCACAGGGGCTGAGCCATAGACAGCTCAGGGACCAAGCGTGTGCACTGCTCTCCTGAGGACCAGAGTGTGGCTTCCAGAACCCACACGAGGCGGCTCACATCACCTATAACCTGAGCTACAGAAAAATGAGACAGGGTCTCCGTGTAGCCCTAGCTGTCCTGGACCTTGCTCTGTAGATTAGGCTAGCCTTGAACTCAGAGATCTGCCTGCCTCTGCTTCTTGAGTGCTGGGACTAAAGGTGTGTGCCAGCCCTGCCCAGCAAATACATATTAAAAAAAATTTTTTTTTTCAAAACACTAGTAACAACCAACAGCTTACCTTCTGCACCTGGGCTCTGACCACCAGCCCTGGCAGCAAGGTGTTCAGGTTCCAGCTTTGGTCCTCAGTTGCAATGGCAGAAGAAATCTCTGAGTGCTCTATAGAGAGAGCCACAACTCCTCCGTTGCTTTTCACTTCTTCAACAAGACAGGTCAGGTACTGGCCAACTTTGAGCTTAGCACCTGTAAGGCCAGGCCAGCAACCAAAAAAGAAAATATATCTTTATGAGAAGAGTCCTTAAACATGGCCCAAGCAAACCTGGAAAGAACTATGGCCTCCCCACCCAGTGAGCATCTGATACTCACCAGGCAAGAAAAGGGTAGGATGTGAATCTAACTGATCTAGAATTCAACTATTTAAAAAAAATATAAACCAAATAAGCCAGGAGTGCCAGTCAAAGGTTCTGGGAGGCCAAGTTCAGCAGAATCTTTGAGATGAAGGAAACTGAAGCCAGACCATAAGAGAGAACAGACCTTGTTACTCTCTGACCCTTCCACATCTTTTTCCCTATCAGCTGGCATTTATTAGACTTTATTAGCAAACCAGTCTTTCAGGGTCACCATTCTGTCTTGCTAGTCAAAGCGACATTAAAATATAAACATTCAAATATAATCCCACATGCTTAAGCTCACTCCCACATATCAGCCCCTTTCTCTGCTCACCCTCACCTTTGTTCTTCTGTCGAATGTATTCTTGGGCTTTCTGCAGTGACAGAAAAGCTCTGGTCCCACCAACACCAATGTCCACTAAGTAGCCATGGTCTTCCAGGCTTGACACTGTGCCTGTCAGCAGCTGGGGGAAGGGAAAACATTCTCAAAAGTTCCAAGTCAAAGGTAAACAGAACACCTACAAATTTCACTACCATTTAAACATGAATGTTACAAATGTACTACTCATTAACCACAACCTCTCAAGCCTGTTAATCACAGCTCCCTACCTGAGTAAAGAGAAGACATCAACTTTTTCACAGAGTGTAAAGAGTTTTGTTACCTGAAAGTGAGTAGTGTTATATATAGCTAAAGTGTGAAGTAACACATGAATACTTTTATATTATGCAAAGAGCAACAGAGTCACACCCAGAGCCAGGACTACCAAGAGAATCCAGAACCATCCTTTTATCTTCTGTTCATTTTTTTCTAAAGTCTTGAGGAAGTGTATCTTCCCAAGATCTGTTTCATGAGAAGCAGTGCAGCTGACTTTAGCTGCCCTCTGCGAAGTGACTGAGACCTCATATGGAGAAGGGAGACTGTCTACTGACTTCCATATTTGCTGTGAGAACAGCAAGAGACAAAGTGACTAAAAGAGCATTGTCATGGAGTGGGCTCCTGACACTTGCAACTCACTGTAACATGGCTTTTATTCTCTTTGTACTGAACTAAATACTATTACACTTTCCAGCTTTCCCCAAATCCCACTGCTTCTAAGAAAACACTTCAAGATACATCTGACCCTTAATCACCAGACATGACTGCAGCACTTTCTGTCATTCCTAGAAGAGCTAGAGGATCTAGCCTGAATAAGTTTGCTTGAATTCCCACAGAGTTGGGTATTAAGACAGCTGGTTAGGAGATGGGTGGTGGTGGCATATGCCTTTGATCCCCCAACTTGAGAGGCAGAGACAGAGGCAGAGGCAGAGGCAGGCTGATCTCTCTGAGTTCAAGAGGCCAGCCTGGTCTACAAAGCAAGTCCAGGACAGCCAAAGCTACTATACAAAAAAAAGACAACTGGTAGGCTGACTGCTGTCTGCCCTTTTCCTATATTCACTGAGAGCCCCTTGACACTTTACATGGCAAGATTCTGGGAAAACTTAAGTCTGTGAAGAGCTGGTGGGGAACTCTTTCACCATCTCCAAGCCTCCCATGAATGCTCTTTGCAGACATTTGACTGTGCCACCAAAAAATCTTAGAGTTTTCTTTCCTCCTTCCACAGTAATAAAACTAGGTTCAAATGTTCAATGATCACTAAGTAGCTAACAGACCACTGTTCCAGAAAGCCCAATTCCTGAACAGCCATTAAGCAGAAAGTAAAAGGTGGCACAAGCCACACCCACAGGAGACAGGGTACAACCTGCTCCTCCTTTCCATGGCATCCAGATACGTACCATGCCAGGCCTCAGGGCCTCAGCACTCAGCACTTTGTTGACATGTTTGGGATTCACAGAAAGTTTGACACTCTTCTTGCCCGTCTCTGTGATGTCCAGGCTGCTCACCACACATCTCACCAACATTCCAGGTGAGAAAAGGTCAGGCAAGCGAAGTAGGTCCTGCGTAAAGGTAATGAGAAAGACCTGATATGTATGTATTTCCTCTGAACGAAGAATCCATTGCCCAGCCTCACCTCAGTGACTTCTCATGCTCAAACCTCCAGAGAAGCCAAAAGGTAAACGGGAGTAAGGCTCTTCATGAGGAAGAGCCTACAGTTAAGTCACAATCTTGGGCTTAGGTATAGAGCCTTCAAGTACTTCCATGAAACAGGCAGATGTCAATGAATGACCCAGGGTTGTCTGTACTTACTGTCTCTATTTCATCTCCCTTTAGATCACACAGAATTCTTCCTATTCCTCTCACTCTATTTTACCTGCTAAGACAGTAGGCTCCATGCCACCTCCATTTTGTAGTCCTTTGATTACTTGACATTTACATATTGGTACTGGGGACTGAATGCAAGGCCTCATGCATGCTAAGCATATCCATTAACCTGAGTTAGGCCCTTGCTCTCTTACATAAATATTTAACCGCTGCCCTTTCTATCCTGCTGGCCCTCCTGCTTCTTCTGACAGCAAGTCTCTTCAGTTCACCATTTGCTCTAGACTCAGTCTTGCAGGCTCTTCTCACTCTAATTTGATCTCCAGAAGTAATTTCTTCCTTTCACACCTTCATCAACTATACAAGTTCCACATATTTGTTTCCAGTCCAGATTTTCTGGAACTCAGCAATCACCCGTCCCCTGGGATCAAGTGCAGCTCAAATTGAAAATAGCAGCTGACGAATAACCATCTCTCCCATCAAACCATACACAGTGGAAGCTTACAACTGGTCCCCAGCACCTCTCTGCCTCACCATCCATATCAAGTGTATCATTCTGGCCATGGCTTCACCTCCTCAATCCTTGATAAATCCTGGCCTTAGGCTGCTGTCAATATCAGTGCCAAGGTTAATAGCTGTAGCATCCTAACTGATCGAGGCAACTACTCATACCATTTTAGTTTATTTGCTATGCCATCAACATGTCACCCACTCCAATGAGAACAGTTCAAAGACTTCCTTTTGATTATAGCATCTAAAACCAATCTTTAAGATGGTCTGTAAAGTTATGGGTAGTCTGGCTTCTATACAGCTGCCCAGCTTCCTTCTACACTGCCCTTCCTCTTGCTCTTCCTATGGTAGCAACACTTGCCTTCTCTGCAACAGCCTGACTCGCTTGATCTCCCTTCTTTCTCTATCTGGAAAACCATCCTTCAGCCCTCAGCTCCAATGGTCCTTCCTTATGGAGGTGTTCTAGGTTCCCTAAACTAAGTAAAAAACAAAACAACAACAACAACAAAACACCCTATATTATTTTAAAAATACAGCAGGATAGTTCAGCAGGTACAGATGCTTGCTGAACAAGCCTTAAGGACCTGTGTTGGCTCCCAGGAACCCACAGGGTGGAAGGAGAGATCTAAATCTCACAAGTTATCCTTTGAGCTCTATGTGAGTCCTGTGACATGTGTATACCCACATACACACACATACACACAAAAACTGAAAGATTAAAAACACAATGGTTCTCCTGGCACACATACTTTCCTTTCTTAGCATTTGGCAAAGTGGTGGGTCTACATCTGTTTGGCTCTATTCTAATTCCAGGAGCAGGTTTCACCCAGACACCCCTTACCTCAAGAGGTTCTTCCTGTGCCACCTGCTCGTTCAACTTCTGAGTGTAGGCATCAGAGATTTCAGTCACTTGCACAAAGCCTTGGAGGCCATTGGGAAGACTGACCACCAGTTCCAGCTCACTGACCTCTTTCACACAACCCAAAATCCGCATTCCCTCACATAGGGACTGAAAAGGAAAACACACAGTAAGGCGGACAACAGTGATGAGGTCTGGGGGACTGTGGCTTCCCAGTCCCCACACTGATGCTAGAGGAATTTGATAAAGGAAAGGAGAACGCATGCATGCAGGCGCCATGAAAGGTCGTGATGAGAAACAGCGTCACCAAGGAGCTCTCACCTTCTACTGTATGCCGGCAACCCTCACTCCACACCTACAAGAAAGCACGGTGACGAGACAGGCTACTGAAGCACTGGCAGTCTGGAGTGTGTGTGTCCCTTCTAAGGGCACAACCATAGCACAGCCCCCTGAGACCTCAAAAATGGAAAAACGGGCTTTCTGTTGTCAGCACTTTGATTTTCAAGAGGGGCCAAGATCACATTTTTATATAAAACCTCCAGTTTTCTAAACTGCCACCAAGTTGAACAATTTTTTAAAAATGTATTAGGAAGCCAGGTGTAGTGGCACATGCCTTTAATCCCAGCACTTGGCAGGCAAAGGCAGGTGAATCTCTGTGAGTCTGAGGCCAGTCTGACCTACAGAGTGAGTTCCAGCATGGCCAAGGCTACACAGAGAAACCCTGTCTCAAAAAATATATATATTCATATTGAAAAACAAAATACTTCTGCAAGCTAATTAATCTTTACTCTCAGAATAGTTTAACTATTTTTTTTTAAATGAACATATACTGGGGGAGTGGGGATAATATGAAATTTTAAGAACCATAAAAACCACACCATATCAGATGTCATTTCACATCTACAAAGCAAATGAGTTGTGGCCAGGTATGATTGGGCACACCTTTAATCCCATATTCAGCAGGCAGAGGCAGGAAGAGCTCTATTAATTCATGGACAGCCTGATCGGTATAGTGAATTCTAGGCTAACCAAGGGCTATAGAGTGAGACCCTATCTCCAAAAACAATAAAAATAAAATAAGAACTAGAATGACTGCTAAAGTTACTGTCAATTCTAATGTCTACTAAAACACAAGCGAAATCACACATATCTAACATTTTCATAATTTGCTTTGTTTATTGAGATAGGGTCCTGTGTATCTCAGACTAGTCTGGAACTAATAATGACCTTAAGCTTCTGGTCCTGCTAACCCCAGCTACCAAGTGCTACTATCACAGGCATGCACCACCACTTCTGGCTTATGTGATGCTGACTCAAACTTGAGTGAACAAAGACTGAGGGTACCGGACAGAAAGGAAGCAGGCTCGATACAGACAGCAGCACACACCTGTAATCCCTATACTTGGGAGGTGGAGGTTCTTGGCTACCTACAGGAGCCTGGGCAGCATAGGACCTTACCTCAAAAAACTCCAAATATCTTTTTTTTAAAAAAAGCTCATTTATCATAATTTGCATAAATCCCTACAGACACAAAAAACATAAAATTGTGTATATGTGTACGTATATGTGCAAAGAATGAAGGAAAAAAGGGAAGAACATATACAAACTTAAACAAGTAGCATGTTAAAAAGAAAAGCAAATAGCAACGAACCTCAATATTAAGAATTTCAAACTTCTCTTTCACAGATTTGCTGGTTTGTCTCTTTTCAATTTTTAATTTTTTTGTTTTTGCTGGCCCTTTCTGGCTCTTTTTCCTTTTAGTGGATTCTTCTTCTGTAGAAATCTAAAGGGAGCAGGGGGAAGATCCATAAAGGTGCAAAAGGATGAGAAGCCACAACCTTAGCCACTACCACATTTGGGGTTACGTTACCTTTCCTGTCACTGCAAACTTTCCCAAGCCGCCCCCACCCCCGTTCTTTTCATTTCTGTTCCACTCCCAAGCCCAGCATACAGGCACCAATGTTCCCCTTGCCCATGCTCTGAGAAGTCTCCTTCATCTTCCCAACCTTTATGTTTTATGTTCCTCCTCTACTGAATGGGGTGAATACTGGGCTTCCCCAGTTGAGAAGCCATGTGTTACAGTACATGGAAATGGAGTCCAGAGTAATGTAAAACTCCAAAGCTCTTCCACAACAAGCTTTATAGCTTCAACTAACTATATAACTTCTCTCAGTTCCTCCACATGGAACAATGACTTCTACCCTAAAACCTACATCAAGAGATTCTGTAGCACCAACCTTAAGGCACACATCCAAGGCAATTTCCTTTGCTGTAGCATCTAGATCACAAACTACTCTATGGGACTGCATTTCGACGCAAACTCTTATTTACTACGACTCCTTTTAAATAAATGCACAATAATGAGGACTGGGACAATGGAGCTCAGGAGTAGAGCACTTGCCTAACATGCACAAGGATATACTCCCAGAACCATAAACAAAACAAAATTCAATATCAAGTACCTATATTCCCTTTCCTTAACCAACTGGCACAGACTCCCTAAAGACAAGTTACAAAAGCACTTCAGTGTCAAATACTTAATGCCATGCTTCAAAAGAAGCCTGAGGTGGCAGAATCTCTTTAAAGTTCGATTTCTAAAAGTATCATAAAAGGGAAGCAAACTGGAAAATAACTGCTGCAAATGGGGCTCAATCTTCCTGAAGATGCTAGAGCGTTTCTGGTCCTGTCAAAGCAGCATCCCACTTACATCAAATAAGTTGTCTTGTTCAACTGCCTTCTGGGAAGATTTCTCTGATTTGTGGCTTTTCCTTGTACCGCCTCGGGGGAAGCTTTCTTCCAAGTTTGCCATGTTTGGTTCTCCTAAAGCTGATGGAAAGAATAATGGTAAGTCATAGGATTGATGGCAGGATTCATTAAGGATGTGACGAATGGACAAGAGAACTGTCCAGCAATATCACTAAACAGGACTGAAGAGTATGATCAAATAGCTGATATGCTGCCAGGAGGTGGGAGCTTCCAGCTTTAATCCCGGAAGAGGCAGCTGAGGTCAACCTGGTCTACAGAGTCTCAGCTAGAGCTACACAGAGAAACAGTCGATATATCAGACTCTTGTTAATCCATTTTTCATCTTTCCAACATTGTCTGCCTCAAAACCACAAACTAAACACTATGCACTGTCTTCCAGAAAATAAGTTCAATTTGGTAAATGTTCATTTAATTAAATCGTAATTTATCAGGTTTGTGTATGTATATGTATACACACATATAAACACATAAATTCTTACTTCCAAACACACATTATTTATAAAATATGTAATTTAAAATACAAATCATATTACAAAGCATAAACAAAAAGGAAGTGGCAAGCTTCAGTAAAGATGGCAAGCTTCATAAGAACGATGCTTTAGAGCTATATATTAAATAAGTAGGAAGCCAGATCTAGTGGTCCATGCCTTTAACTCCAGCACTTGGAAGGCAGAGGCAGGCCTATCTCTGTGCGTTCCAGACCAGCCAGGGCTACATAATGAGACCCTGTCTCAAAAATAACTAATAATAATAGCAAATAGGAACGTGACGGTAGAAAATATGAAAAAATACAGAAACAAGGAAAAGCTTATTCTTCAAAATACAGCAGCCATTTGCCTATTAAAAAGATGTTCAAAGGCCTTTCTTAAAAAACTGAATTATTAGGGAGAGGACTGGGATCAGGCTGTACAATGATTAAATTAAAAAACAACAACAACAACAACAACTTGAATTATTCAAGTAAACCATAAGGGAAATAAAGCACAATAACAAGTTACATTTTAGAAACAATTTGGCTCTTTAGTGGAAGATACTTAATTAAAAATAAGTACTTTGTATTTACTTGCTACTTCAGAGACTTGGGGGAAGTGACAGAATAATGAACAATATTCTCCAGTTTACAGATTGCACAGAAAAAGAAAGAACTGAAGGCAAGTAAATCAAGTATAAGGATTTAAATGACGTATATCAGGAAAAACATGAGAACCAGGGCTACGTATAAATGAAGACGAAAGACAGGATGGTTGGTTCTGAGATTAAAACTTTAGTAAGAACGTGATTGTGAGAGACGTGACCACCGAGAGGAAATTCAGGATTTGATCTGTTATGGATGCATGCTTCATAGAAACCGTGTATTTCTCGAGGTCTCCTCTGCTGGGAATCCAACTCTTAATTCTCACTTTAGAATTTGAAACAGAGGCACCAGCCTGGCGATTACGTGCGGAGAAGGTACTTAGGGTACCTGAAATGGAAATCCTGGCTTGCAGGAACTGCTAGCGCAGAGGGGCATGAGGACAGACCACCTAGCAGGAAACCCAGAGACCCAGGCCAGAAAGCCGAGGTGGGAGCCATGGGTTCTCGTCCCTCCTCGCCGAAGCTCCCGGGTCACAGGCCCACCGCTCCCGCGGCTGCCTACCTCACGGATGGGTCCAAAGAAATCGCGCGCGCACATCAGGGAGCCGACAGCCCCACGCGCCTCTTCCACACGCTTAGGCAAGACCAGGGCTACTTCCGTTATGACGTCATAAGACCGGGGCTGAGATAGGAAGTAGGGGGGCGGGACTTTGCGTTGTAGCCAATCCACGCAGAGGGCCGAGTCGCAGGGCCAGGCGGTCGTGTGCGGGAGGGGGCTGTCTTCCGGTCCGGTCGCGCTGGTCGTTAGGTTTGTTGAAGGACATCGGCTGCGGAGTCTGTGGTTTAGGCTAAGGTGGGTGAGGAAGCCCCCTCGGCTGCGCTAACCGGTGACTTGGCTTTGTAGGGCCGACGGGAATCTGGCCGTTTTTCCCGTCCCGGAACAGCGCGAGGTTTACTTTCTGCGGGGAGGGAACGGTGGGAGATGGGAAAGGCCCTGGTGGAAAATGAGGGTCGGGGCCCCAGGCGCGTCTAGGAAGCCTCAGCACCAGCTCGCCCAGCCTCGCACGGTTCGCGAAGAGCCGTTTGTTCCATTTTCCAGTGTGGACCGAGGGTGAGACCCGTCGAGAGAGGAGCTCCCCAAGGTCATCCAGCGATACAGTGTTGGGAGAGAATTCTGACGTTTGAGCCCACCTCTGGCTGAATCTATGTGTCTGGCCTGTGTGGCCGTAGCGATTTGTTTTCTCTTGAGCTGTGATCAGGAAACTAGGCCTCCTTTAACTGCGCGGTAGCCTTTGTCAAAGCCAGAGTAAACGTGGAGTGGCCCTTGCTACTCTACAGGCCTGGGCGCGACAAACGGATTAGATTTTAGTTTATATTCCAGCGGTTCTGCAACCTATGGATCGCGACCCCTTTTACAAACCTCTCTCTCCAAAAATATTTACATTACAATTCGTAGCCATAGCAAAATTACAGTTGTGAAGGAGCAACGGAAATAATTTTATAGTGGGGATTGGGATCCACCACAACAGGAGAAATTGTGTTAAAGGGTCGCAGCATTAGGAAGGTTGAGAACTGTATTCAATCAATGGAAGGGCTTCTACAAGAAGCTGTTGTGCTTGTGGTCCCTGGGTGCCTTTGAGTAGTCTCTCCTTTTACTTAGACCTGGTGATCTCACCACTACAGATGATGATTGTAAGACAGGAAACTAGCTGTATCCAAGAACCAATTAGGAAGCAAAGGCAACATCACCTCAAGACTTAAATAAAATGCCCATTTCACGAACATAATCGTGGAGAGACTGGTTCTATTTAATAGTACTTGTTGGATTATTTAGAAACAGAAGCAAAACTTATCAGTTTAAGCTTTCTAACAGGCTGCTGTTTAACAATATTACATTTTTAAAAATATTAAACCACAGGTTCACAAGTATTAGTCTTACGTGATTTTTTTTTTCCCACTATTGTATGGCTCAAAACTTGCATATGGCATCAAGGAGAGCAATTTTTAGTTTATTCCAATTGCCAGGTGTGAATTGTGAATGGCTAATGCTTTTAGTCCCAACACTGGCAGGCAGGTAGGTCTCTGAGTTCAAGGCCATTTGAGGCTACATGTTGAGACACTGTCTTTGAAAAAAATGAAATAAAAATCCCATAATGGGCATTGTTAGCCAGACTTGGTGGCACATGCTTTTAATCCTAGCGCTCAGGGAGGCAGAGGCAGTCGGATCACTGAGTTCAAGGTTAGCCTGGCCTGCAAAGGGAGTTCAGGACAACCAAGGCTACTCAGAGAAACTCTGTCTCAAAAACAAACAAAATTGTATGTGTGTAGGGGGTGGCATTGTTAACAAAGGCTTCTCTTGTTGCCCCAAACAATACAGTTTATTGGAAGGTACAGACTAAGTGTTTTAAGTCTTAATATGACCATTGTTAACCAAAGGTGGTTGTGCCCCACACCTTTGTTCCCAGCAAGGTAGGAAGATCTCTAAGTTCAAGGCCAGCTGGGTCTACAGAATGAGTTCCAGGACAGTCATGGCTACACAGAGAAACCCTTTCTCGAAAATAATAATAATACCATTGTTTATCTCATCAGCAACATCGCTATTCTTCTATCTAAGCTTCTGGTGTGTCCTTCAAGACCCCAGTTCCCATACCATTCTTTTACTTCAGTCAGAATTAGTTGTCTTTGGAATATATCATCCTTACTCCAGTATCCTGTAGCATGAAACTTAAAAGCACCTTAATATTGACCAATTATGCACCACTTCCTCCTAAAGGTAATAGATTATCAGTTAATGAGTTGGAAGGTTAATGGATAGACAAAGTTAAGACTTAGTTTTCTAAAAGGTTTCTCAAGAGAACCTTCTTCATGAAAAATACATCATGAAGTGAATGTGCTTTGGTAGGTTAAGTAAAGGGAAACTTGACATCCTATGCAGGTTTTGTTGTTGGTTTTTAGTGGTGATTTTCCTGCTTTGGCTAGAATGACCAAGGTGTGTGAAGTTTAGATTTCCTTCATTGTTTCAGTAACCATTCTGAAAGTGTTCAAAATAAAGATCTCAAATTTTGTTGTGAAATCTTTGAGCATGAATGCTTCTGAAGACTTTGAATGGTAAACAGGGATGCTAGTTTTCTCCTACTTCCATTTCATCTAGAACCAGCCAGTTCACCAATCTTGCCTGGACCTCCACCAGCTAGTCCAAGTTGCTATTGAGTCTGTGGCTTGGTTGTGGTAGACAGGCAGTCAGACACACAAAACTTTGAATAGTTTTGAATTCTGCTGTGACTTCCTAAATTTGTGTCTGCTGGTTCTTTTAATTTAGCAAACAATGTAATTTTACTGTTATTTTTCATCCTTCTCTTTCACTGTCCCCACCATCAACCTTACCCCACTCCTTAGTGTTCCCTGCTTCCAGCCAAATAGTCAGAATTAGTTCTACTTTTGCGACTTAACATAGGCATACACATACATCTATAGATATATATTTAAATCTATGGTTTGTGTACCAAGAGAAAAGAATGGGTATTTTGTGTCCGGTTTGTTTCATTTAACGCAATGGGCTGCTGTTGTATCCATTCTCCTGCTTGCATCATAATTTCATTTTTCTTTATGGCTGAATTAAATTCCACTGTATACATGTACCACATATTCTTTGTCTGCTCATCTGTTGATAGGCATCTAATCTGTGTCAGTTTTTTCCCTATTGTGAATAGTCTTATCAGTAAACAGTGATACGCAAGTATCTTTGTGGTGTGCTGGCTTAGTCTTTCAAGTATATCCCCTGAGTGGAATAGCTGGTTCTGTTTTTAGTTGTTTGAGAATCCGCCACACTGGCTTTCATAGTGGCTACACAAGTTCACATTCCTATCAGCAGTATGTAAGGATCCTCTTTCCCCACATCTCACCAGTGTGTGGTCACTTTTTTTTTTTTAAAAATGCAATTTCTTACATAAAAGAAATAGGTGGAACTCTGGGAGGTCGAGACCAGGCTGGTCTACAAAGTGAGTCCAGAACAGCCAAGGCAACACAGAGAAACCCTGTCTTGGAAGAAACAAAATAGATCCTAGGTAGGTAGGTAGATAAGTAGATAGGGCAAGCCAGGCAGTGGTGGTCCACACCTTTGATCCCAGCACTCAGAGGCAGAGACAGGTGGATCTCTGTGAGAGAGAGAGTTAAAATTACTTAGAGGCCTTATAAGACAGATAACTGGTTTCTATTTCAGTGTCTGTGGTAGGGACCTGAGTGTCTGCATTTTTAACAAATTTCCATTGGCCTCATGCTGCTGTTCTAGGAACCAGACTTTGAGAACCGTTAATAAGCCCTTAACACCCAGAAGCAGAGTTGATTTTTAACATTTAACATCACCTGGGGCCTTCTTTCATGGTGGTATACAGATCACATAGTTTTCTTCAATAGCATTTGTTTTTTATCAGTCCCATGGATTTCTGTGAAGAGTGTTCAGTGATTATTCACGAACCACATAGTTCTGCCTTGTGATAATTTCAGTAAAGTTGAATTCTTGAAGAAATCAATCAGCTATCTAGAAGGGTATATTCATGATATAATTTAATAGACATTCTAAATATATGTTATTGTTCCAGCTTAAACCATACAATGTTAAGGCCAGTTACTTGTAGCTTATCTGTGTTGGTGTGATAATTAAATATTGGTTTGTTGTTAGGGTTTTTTTTTTTTTTTTGTTTTGTTTTGTTTTGTTTTGTTGCAATACTGGGTCTCCTCTTTTACCTAGCTGGCCTAGAACTTCCCATGAAGAGCAGGCTGGCCTGAAACTCACAGAATTTAGCCTGCCTCAGCCTCCTAAGGCAGGGATTAAAGGCTTGTGCTACATGGGTCTGATGTCACATTTCTTTCTAATGTTGGCTCTCGTTTTGTTTCCCTTTCCAAAGACAAGTTAAAGTAATTGCCAGTTTCCTTCCAGGAGTTTTTGGCTCCATTGTTTACACTCAGTTCCTCTGTTTGGGTAGTAGATTCCAGCTTCCGAGACCACCGCTGCCTGGTATCAGTATCATTAGTAAATGATTTGTCTTCCTTGGAAGCCCTTAAGTGATTAATAGGAAGAAAACCTGTGAGAATATGTGTTACTTTGTGTGTTTGAGGGGGAGGGGTTAGAGACAGGGTTTCTCTGTGTAGTTTTGGTTGTCCTGGACTTGCTTTGTAGACCAGGCTGGCCTCAAACTCACAGAGCTCTGCCTGCCTCTGCCTCCCCAAGTGCTGGGATTACAGGCAGGCATACGCTGGCAAGCCAGGCTTTTCAACTGGTCTTAAGTGTTTCTTGTTTTCTTCTACTTCCAATATCCATCCCATTTGTGGGCCTCTGAAAGACTCTACCCAGCAGAGTATCAAAGCTGATGGTGAGACTCATAACCAAACCTTGGGCAGAGTTCAGGGAATCATATGAAAGAAGGGGGAGTTAGTAAGACCTGGAGAGGACAGGAGCTCCACAAGGACCAAATATGTCTGGGCACAGGGGTCTTTTCTAAGACTGAATCTCCAACCAAGGACCATATATGGATATAATTTAGAACTCCTGCTCAGAGATAGCCTATGGCAGCTCGGTATCCAAGTGGGTTTCCTCAGTAAGGGGAACAGGGGCTCTCTCTGACATGAACTCAGTGGCTGGCTCTTTGACCCCCCCACACACACACACACACACACACACCCGAGGGAGGAGCAGCCTTGCTAGGCCACAGAGGAGGACATTATAGCCAGTCTTGAAGAGACCTGATAAGCTAGGGTCAGATGGAAAGGGAGGAGGACCTCACCTTTCAGCGGACTTAGAGAGGGGCAGGGAGGAGATGAGGGAGGGTGGGATTGGGAGGGAATGAAGGAGCAGGCTACAGCTGGGATACAAAGTAAATAAACTGTAATTAACATAAAAAATAAACATTTAATTTAAAAATTAATTTCAAAAAAAGTTTTTTTAAGTGATTGTTTACAGTATGGATAGAACCACAAATGAAAACATTAAGCTGTCCTGAGTCAGAGACAGAGTTAACAACTCTTTGTCTTCCTATGTTGAGTGCTTGGCCATTATGGAGTTTTTAGGTGAAGGGCCTACTAACAGTCCTTATTAGCTAGGCTTTTCCTACCGGCTCTGCTAGTGCAATGGCAACTGAACCACAGATAACAGGTTTTGGGGGCTGGAGAGATGGCTCAGAGGTTAAGAGCACTGGCTGCTCTTCTAGAGGTCCTGAGTTCAATTCCTAGCAACCACATGGTGGCTCACAACCATCTATAATGAAATCACATGCCCTCTTCTGGTGTATAAGCATACATGCAGACAGAATACTATGTAAATAAATATTTTTTAAAAGAAAAAAAGATGACAGGTTTTGAAACTGAACTATTTTTCTTATAAATTGCACCCAAAGCCAGGTGGAGGCAGAGGCAGGCTGATCTCTGTGAGTTCAAAGCCAGCCTGGTCTACAAAGGACAGCCAGGACTCTGTTCGAGACAGAGAAACCTGTCTTGACAAACCAAAAAATAGCCAGGTGCTGTAGTGCACACCTGTAATCCCAGCACTCTGGGATGTAGAGGCAGGCAGATTTCTGTGAGTTCAATGCCAGCCTGGTCTACAAACTGAGTCCAGGACAGCCCAGGCTACACAGAGAAACCCTGTTTAAAAAAAAAAAAAAAAAAAAAACCCAAATAAATAAAAATAAAATAAATTGCATTCAAATCAATTTATCGTGTTTTGTTGTTGTTTTTTAGCTTGAAGTCATGGCTGGTCCAGAAAATGATGCCCAATTCCAGTTCACTGGTATTAAAAAGTATTTCAACTCTTACACTCTCACAGGTAGAATGAATGTAAGTATTAATTATATTTTTAAGCAGTTATATCTTAGAATAATAGAGATATGACAGCTTTCATTTACATCTCTCTTTTTTTCTCAGTGTGTGCTGGCCACATATGGAGGCATTGCTTTGTTGGTCTTATACTTCAAGTTAAGGCCTAAAAAAACTCCAGCTGTGAAAGCAACATAGATGGTAAGGAATCACCATTAAAAATTTTTTAACTTAGTTATTTAAGTTTTTTTCTCTCTCTCTCCTTATAAACTGTTGGCACTCTGAAATTACTTGCCTGAAAGCACTGGGTATAATGTGCACAGGTAAGCCCAACAGTGAGGGGGCAGAGGCAGGAGGATCACAGATTCAAGAACAGCTTATACTACATAGCTGGACTTGGTTTCAGAGCAATTCAGAGAGCAAGAACAAGGAACTGGGTGTGGTGTCTTATACCTGTAAGCGCCGCAACACAGGGGAGGGTGAAGCAGAAGGATCACTGTGAAAAGAAAACCCCCCAAAAAAGGTATTACAGCAGTGGTTTTGAGCTGTGTTAATTTCAGGCTTAAGAGCTTTCCCAAATGATTATGGGACACCTAGCTTTGTAAGAGGGTGTATCTTTTACTTCAGCCAGTGTTTTACTTCAGACTGTTTTTTGCTAAATTGGTGTGTTAAAGAAAAATTGTCTCGAGTTTTGTTGAAGTCCTTTTGTTCTATTATCATTTGTATTTTTCTTAACACCATTTTTGGGAGCATATGTCCTTGTACACTCCCAAGTCAGGACGCTGATGTGGAAGTATGTGGACAACTTTAAGGAGATGCTTCTCTTTCCACCTTGTTGAGGCAAGGTCTTCATTTCTGCTTTCTGTTCCATTGTGCATTCCCAGCCTAGCTGGCATGCGCATTTACAAGCCAGTTGTCCTGTCTCTGCCTCTCATCTCTACAGAAGAGTGCTGGAAGTACAAATGTGCCACTGCGTCTGGTTTTTTTTTTTTTTATTGTTGTTGTTGTTAGTTTAACATAAATTCTTGGGATCAAACTCAGTTCTTCATTTCTCCCCAGCCCAACTAGAAGCTTATGTAATTTAGTTTGGGTTGGGTCTTACTTGTTTATAGCCCAAACTGGCCTCAAAAGAGTGTGGCAGTTCCTCTTTCTCAACCTGCTGGGTTTTGGGATTACAGACATATGCTACCATGCCTAGGTTGGAGCGGGGATTAGCTAGAGATTGCTCAGTGGTTAAGATCAAGTCCTGTAAGAACAGAGGACCCAAGTTCAGATCCCAGCACCCATGCCAAGAGGCTCACAACTGTCTGTAACTCCAGTACCAGGTAATCTAACACCCTTTCCTGGATTCTCACACATAACACACATAATTAAAAATAAAAAAATCTTTTAAAAGGAAAAAAGGGGGCTGAAGAGATGGCTAAGTGGTTAAGAGCGTTGTCTACTCTTCCAAGGGACCTGGGTTCAATTCCCAGCACCCATGTGGCAGCTCACAACTGTCTGTAACACCAATTCCAAGAGATCTGATACTTCACACTAATGCACGTTAAAAAAAAAAAAAAAAAAAAAAAAAAAAAAGGAATTACAAGCCGAACTTGAACTCAGGGCCTTAGCAGATGCTGGACTATCTGCCTCAGAGTTACAACCCCAACCGTAACCAACCTTTAGTATATAAAGTTGTAAATCTTTGCTAGGATATTGCTAGCTTTACATTTTCATAGAATACTGGATTCTCTCCCTGAATAAACCCTTTTGTATTTTCTTATGGTCCCCCTCATGCTCTTTTATCTATACGGAAGTCAGTAAATATTGTCTTAGCAGCAAGTGTGCAGAAAGGCAGAAGGCTAGAGCTCTGATGCCTTTTTCACTTATTTTTGTTCTGCTCTTAAAGCTTTTCCTATCTTAAATGCATTTAACTTGGGAGACTGTGAGGTCCAGTGCATGCCTTGCTCCGGGTACACAGGCAGTACTTTACCCAAATTTCTACATAGTTACTCTAAACTTTAGAAGGGTGGTAGCAGCCCCATAAAAGTTGTATCTTGAAAACTAAGTAGCTGGCACGTATGTTATCTATTTATGCTATTTTAAATGTTACTTTGCAACTAGAAAGATAGCTGGGAGGTTGAGAGCACCTGTTGCTCTTGTAGACCAGGATTCAGTCTCCAGCGCATGTTGATTCACAATCATCCATAACTCTTAGTTCTAGGGGAACTGATACCCTCTTCTGATGTCCATAGGTACCAAGCACGTAAGTGGTAGGCACACACACACATAAACCTAACAGATTTTTTACTTTGTATACGACACTTTTTCCCCCCAGATTTTGTTTTTAAGACTATACTGATTTGTTGGCAGTTTCAACAATTACTTAAGTTGTTAAAGCTGGAACATTATATCAACCTGAAGGATGTGTATGTGCTGTGTGCATGCCCTGACTCTTGAGAATCTAGTGAATTTACATTTTATTTTGGGGATTTGTGGTAATTACTGACTGTCAGAGTGGAACACATTTGTGTCAAACTGTTTTTGCTTTGTTTATAGGATTTTGAAATGTCTGATCTCATCTGTTAAGTCCCATGCCTGAAGAAGCTGATGTCAACTCATCATGTAATACTCAATTTGTACAATAAATTATGAACCTGGAAAAGCTGGTTGTCTTTATTTACAAGATATCAAAAATATAAAACTGTACAAAATGCAACAAAGGCAAAAACTGGCAGTAACTTGGTCTATATCTTTTAGTTCTCCAAAGCAAGGCTCAGTACTGGAGGTAAGCAACTGAAATGTCTGACTGACTTCAAGTGTGCTAGGTCAGATGTAGCCATGTTAGCTGAAGTAGAGTAGGATCTAAATCTCGTCACCTGGTTCGTAGAGCATCTGATTGCACTGAAAACTTACAAGGTAGGAATTGAGATGTTGGTGGATGGTTGGTACATCCAGGTCTTAGGAACTGTAGTCCCTACCCAGTTACATACATCCCGCTAGTCACAGAAAAAGGAAAGCACGTTAGTGGGATGGTTAACACAAGTGCCTGAGTGCCGTACAGTAACTTCATTTTACAGCAGACACACACATGCTCATAGAAGTCTTCAGCTACTCAAAATGGTAGTATATTTCTTATTTGAATCTTGAAGCAGAATGAATTGTTTGAATCAAATTGATTTCCTTTCTAAACATAATAAATTAAAATAGCATTTGAACAGAAAAATGCATAGTTTCCACACAATCCAAAGCACCATAAATGTCCCTCCATGAACATAATACCTCTTATTCAACTAACGGAAATTAGTTAAATGTGGTTGCTATAGAAACGTGGAACTGTCCTGTTCAGATTTTCCAAGCAGCATACTTCCAGATCCATGTAGACAAAAACATTCTTTGTAGCTTAAATACTAATCACTGAGGTATTTGCTTTTAGTCTCCCTTTTCCAAACAGTAGCTTCCAAAAGGTCTCTAATACCGTTGGTTTATTGCGGACTGTAAGCTCCTGCAGCTAGAACCAAGTTTCTTCGAGTAAAATGTAGATGTACAACTGGTGTTGATTTGGTCATATATGTACCCAATAATAACTCCTGGGAATTTTCAGGTAGATTTATATGCCCAGTGGCTGTAGTAAAGTCATCAGTCTCTAAATCTTCAAATGCTTTGATGGCATCCCATAACCGGACTGTATTATCCATTGACCCTAAAAGAAAGCCAAAGAAAACTGTTAGTGTGTATCTATCACAACCAGCGTGGTATTTTCCTTTGTATACTTTGTGTTTACTGTGGGTTTTCTGTTTGGTTTTTTTTGTTTGTTTGTTTGTTTGTTTGTTTTTTATGAAAACTAAACCTTTACCCCAAAGCCATTAAAATAATTTACCTGATGCCAGAATTTCACCATCTCTACTAAACCTAAGTGAACACACTGTATCAGTGTGGCCTTTTAATTCTCCAACCATCAAGCCATGTCCAATATCCCAAAGAAGTACTCTGCCATCTGTTGCTCCCGTAGCCAGGAATCTCCCATTGGGAGAAAATGTCAAGGAATGAATTGGTCCCTAGAAAAGATCAGAGTCGGGTTTAGTATCTCTGATACCGCCAAGAAAGAATTGTAATTTAGTATCATGAGTGTTATCTTTAAAGTGTTTATGCTATTGGTTATATATTTTGACTTTAAAAGCATCTGTGTGCTGGAATAAAATAAAGTGTAAAATACCTTGTGTCCAGTGAAGATCCTTACACAGTTACCATTGAGGACATCCCAGAGCCGCACAGTTCTGTCTGCAGAGCCCGTAGCAACATAGTTCGAATTTGGATGAAATCTAGTGCAATTCACATCAGCTAGATGGCCAGCAAATATCCTTAAAGGCTGATAGTGATCTGTAGCCCAAAGCCTTTTATAAGTTCATGGAAATTAAGAAATAATAGTAATTAATTGAAGTAGCAAAATTTAACCCAAAATATAGGTATATCCAGGTGAAATTCAATTCCAAACGGTTCCTCCTTGTCATCTACCTGAAGGAACGATAATAGATTGGAACTAACATTTTCTGTTTTGAGATAATGTCTCACGTAGCCCAAACTGTCTTTGAATTTATTGTCCTGTCTCCACATCCCAGAGTGCTGTTAGGTTTGGGTTTGTTTTGTTTTATTTGAGCAGGGTCTCATTATGCAGCCTTAGCTGTCCTGGAATTCACTATGTAGATTAGGCTGGCCTTGAAAACATGTACCATCCTGCCCTGTTCCAGAATGCTGGGATTATAGACATGTAAATTCTCTTTTGTTTTTTCAATACAGGATTTTTCTGTGTGTAGCCCTAACTATCCTGGAACTCGTTTTGTAGACCAGGCTGGCCTCAAATTTACAGAGATCTACCTGCCTCTGCCTCCCAAGTATTGAGATTAAAGGCATGCAACTTTATTTTATGGGCATTGATGTTTTGCCTCTATACATGTCTATGTAAGGGTGTCAGAAACCCAAGAACTGGAGTTACAGACAGTTGTGAGTTGCTATGCAGGTGCCAGGAAATGAACCTGGGTCCTCTGGAAGAGTAGCCAGCACTCTTAACGATTGAGCCATCTCTCTAGCCTGCATGTAAATTCTTAATTCTTTGTATACCCACCTTCCTTCCCACTCCTCATGCACAGAAAACCATCTTCCTGTAGTTTGGACAACGACAAGAATTACGTCAGTGGGGACTTTAGAGTAACAGGAGACATAAAGGTACCAGCGGTAATGGAAAAAACAAGACACATCTGAGGTGTGGGGAATGTGTTATATTAAAGCAGGGCTATTGGTGTAGACATGGGAGGGAGAGTAATACTCTCACATTCATTTTTCAAACTATAGCTATGACTACTTATCTTCTCAAAAAGTTAATCCTATGAATAGTATGAAAATGAGATTTGCTAGACTTGGTATTCCCATAAGAAACGGTTATACTGAGTGAATAACCCTGTTAGATCAGTGTTCTTACCGAGCTACTCGGTCATGGCCTCCTGACACAAAATAATATCCATACGGAGAAAACTGTGTGTCCCATACTGGATAGTTGTGTCCTTTATATCCCACCAAGCAAGTAAACGTCTGAAGGCTCCAGAGTCTAACAGTTCCGTCCTCTGAAGAGGAGAGCAGATAGTTCCTGAGGAAAAAAGGTGATGTTTGACTCCCAGAACAACCGGTTACCTGTCATTCTCATTTTCGCACTTGAGCAAATGACACGCACTTGTCTTTGTGTATGCACACACATGCACAGGAGTGCACAGAGTGCTCAGGACTGAACACGGCCTTGCACATGGCAGGCAGGCATTCTGCCACTGAGCTATACATCCTTAGCCCTCTCATCTGTATGTGTGGTATGCAGTATGTATGGGCACATTCAGGTGTCTTCTTTGATCAATCTCCCAGAGCTTGTCAAGCTTCGTCAGAGATCCCAGCTCCACAGTACTGGGATGACACAAGGGCTGCCATGCCAGTCCAGCATTTATGTGGGTTATGGGGAGCCAAACTCTAGTCTCCAGACTTGCATGACAAGTAGTTTACCCACTCAGATAGCTCATCCCTACCTCTTTATTTATTCTTAGAATTCACAGTAGATACCAAGAGCTAAAAGTATTAAACTAATGTTAAAATGATATATTGTCATACTATATCCTGAACACCTACTGTATAAAGATATATATATATATAATATATATATATAATATTATATATATATATATAATAATGATGGAGACTATGGAGAGGGGCTCGTGTAATCTCAGAATCTGGGAGATTGAGGCAGGAGGCTTGCTGCAAATTCAAGGCTAGTCTGGGCTACAGTGGGAGACCCTGTTCCAAAACAACAACAAACTAATATTAATTATAATAATGACTATCAAGACAGTCTTGAAATGAGGTGTACCAGTTTGGGATATGTTATTTCCCATCCGCATGGGCTATATTTAAAAAAGGAAAAAGAAGTGGGGTATAGCTCAGTAGTAGAGTGGGTGTCTAGCATGTGCTTGAGGCCCTACATTCAACCAGGACACTCCTCACATGCAGAATGCTAATGTTCTACCTTTTCAGGGATAAATAAAAGCCAACAGTTTTCACTGAAATCAGACATTCTCTTCAAGCAAAACGTAACATTTGGCTAAATCCTATAAAAAACTTTTTTTTAATTCTCAAGATCTCAAAAACTCAATGAAAACTACTATCTAAGCAGAATACAGATGATAGTATGGGTGAAAATACCCTCTCCCAGCCATTTTTGCAAAAAGAAATGAAACTCAAAAAACACCTCAATACATATGGTGCTATTATTTCAAAACATGGTCTGGCCATGATGCCCAGATGACCTTGAACCACAATTCAAAGTACCCTAGTGTCCAGAATATTAGTATTACTGTCTAAGGATTGCAGGCACTTACCACAACACCCAGCTTTATTCATTATTTCCATTACAGAAAGCTAATGCTTCAGTTGATAGCTATTAATGCCATTAGTATGATTTCTCTTAAAATTTATGAAGTACCAATCCAAGAACAATCAAGAACCCAAGCAGTTCAATCTCCATATTCAAAGATACAGCTAAACCTTGAAACCAGTGAGCCCTGAATGTGTACCTTGATTCTGTAAATTCAGTGTATACTTAGTTGCTATTTTATATTCCAGTACCCCAAAATAAATTAGCAAATGGTAAGATGCCAAAAGATACTTAACTACGGGCAACCATGATGTTTTTCTAAAAAGTGTCTAGACATTTGCATTTTATTTACCGCAGTTTACTTTTAAATCTCAATACTGTTTATCAGCATTAATTTTGTTTGTATTTTACCTATCCGGACTGAAGCTGGCTCCATAGACAGGCCCACTGTGACCATACAAAATCTTCAACTCACTTGCAGTTTTCTCATCCATGATTCTTTCTAAGACATCATCTGATTCTTTGTCTATAAGACTAAGATCTAAAAAGGTCCAGAAATATTATTTTAGGTGCATTCAGTGTATGGCAATCCATCATAGTTCAGAACTAAGATTTCAACATTTCTCCCTATGTACCAACACTATGCTAAAGCTGAAGTCAGTGATACATCCCCTTGTACATAAGAAAATGAGTCTTCAGTTAATCTGCTACACCACACAGTTATTCACTATGAAAACCAGTTCTGATTCTTTAGTCTG